GGGAGCACCACCGCACTCCCAAGCGGCGCACTGTAGCAGTGCGCCACCGGGCCGGCCCCCCCGACCCCTTTTTTCTAAACAATTTTAAGTATCAGCCTTATAGTTACCCTCTGAACCGTGTGTTTTATATCGCTGACCCCCTAAGGGGACCCCATAATTCAGGCCCTATTATGTCCATTAAAAGTTATCCTGATTGAACTGGAGTGGCAGGGCAATGACATATGCTAATTGGACACTTACTGTGTGTAGAGCACCAGGGTTATAAAAGAGAATAAGAGACAGGCCTTGTTCTTGCAGGAGAGATTGTTATAACACAGTGTGATATGCGTCACAATATTTTAAGTTACAAAACATTGGGGAGGTGGTTATTAGCACTGTTGACAGAGTGGGGTATATCAGGGAAGGCTTCACAGGAGAGATGACACCTGAGCAGGCCTTTAAAGATGAATGGAAATTGGCCAGGTGAACAAGATAGGGAAGGGTACTCCAGGTAGCAGGGAACAGAATGTGCTAAAGGCAAAAAGATGTGTTTGAGAACTACAAGTTTATTACTATTTTTGCTAAATAAGCAGCAAAGGAGGACATAGAGCTGGAGACAGGACTAGAAGAAGGGCAGGCAAGCTCATGATTTCGATTTTGAGTTTCAGGGGGAGAGAGGAGCAAACTGAACCTGATCATATTTGTGTTTCAGAAAAATGACACATTGGTGGTAACACGGAAGGTGAGGTCAAGACTGCAGGGCTGAGACCAGTGAAGGTGCTGGAAAATTCTAGGCAAGAGAACTAGTGGAGAGTCAGCAGGGCATAAGAAAGCTGAGCTTGAGGGCCGGCCCCATGGTGCACTCGGGAGAGTGCGGCGCTGGGAACACAGCGATGCTCCCGCCGCGGGTTCGGATCCTATATAGGGATGGCTGGTGTGCTCACTGGCTGAGCGCAGTGCGGGCGACACCAAGCCAAGGGTTGCAATCCCCTTACCGGTCACGGAAAAGACAAAAAAATAAAAGCTGAGCTTGAAATCCACTCATTTTATTTCTCCTCTGCCTTGTGGTTGTCATGACCGATGGATCTGCCTCCATCCCTGAGGGTAGCATCAACTTTAGTACAGACCTCCTACTGAGACAAGCCTTAAGTGGGTTGGCCCAAAGCTCCGCAAACACCCTGGTCCTAGCCAGGCTCACCTCCATGGGCAACCCCAGCAGGTGGTGGCATCTTAAAATGCTCAGCCATGAGTCCTTCTTCCAGCAAAGGTGGCTTTGGGACCCTCTGTTTCTTCTCAGAAGGTGAGAGGTCCTTCCCTCCAGATTGCTAGCCAGATATCAGATCCTCCTTGGGGCACCCAGCTGGCTCACCAGGAGGGAAAGCTGCACCCACCAGGAGGGGAGGGGTGCGTTCCCACAACTCCCCAGCCTGGTGCAAGACAACCTCATTCTGCAGGAAGGCTCTGGTCCGAGAATGGGAAGACAGAAAAGTGTCTGGGGCTGAGGAGGGTTGAAAAGGGGGCCACATTGTTCCTGTCAGGGTGGGGGTGGGTTCACTCTCAGCCCAGACGGTGGATCGGGGAAGACAGAAAAGTGTCTGGGGCTGAGGAGGGTTGAAAAGGGGGCCACATTGTTCCTGTCGGGGTGGGGGTGGGTTCACTCTCAGCCCAGACGGTGGATCAGCTCCCCCTCATTATCATCTCAAAGGGGGAAGAAAGGGATTGTGTGAGCCGGCTTCTTCCTTCCCTCTAATGACTTCTTCCTCTCTGGAGACAGTTGCACAATGAAGGAGGGGTTGGGGAGGGGGCTGACCGGAGGCTGCCCTGGCTCTGCCAAGGCCGCCCGCCCAGGGAGTGCGGGGCAGGCCCACCACCTGCTGGCCGCTTCTGGCGGCGGGGAATAGATCTCTCTCGGGAACTCTGTAGGGCAGGCTTGGGATTCTTAGGCAGCCAGCAGAGATTTAGAGAAAATTGGGAACGTACTGAGATTCAGAGGTCAGAACGTTTGCAAAGAATCTAAAATGAAGTTCTGTATGAGAAGTGGATGTGCCCGTGGTAGAAAGTCTCTGTCACAAACATCCAATGAGTGCAAAGCCGGTGAGTTTATGAGTCTTGGTTTGTTACTTACTCTTTGACCCACTGAGGGGCAAAGACACCACACACCAAAGACTGTTGTTCTTAAGACCTAATTAAAGTGGAGGCACATGACGTGTGATTGAAATACATTGGGAGAAACTCCTCTGGCCCAACCTGTGTCCATCGCTGGGGTATACAGCCTAAAGTTCGCACATTTGTCTCAATCCTGTCAATCAGGGACATTGAAGAGCAAAGTCAAAGTGTACATGGTCCTGGGCTGAACCCTTCGTTGTATTTCAGCCACAGTCACTGTTCCCCCACTCTGCTGCATATCGTATGGGAATGGGGGACAGGGAGTAGTACAACCCAACTTTGTCACCCAAGAGCTACAGAGAAGAGTGACCAATAGAAAATCTAGCACAGTGGGATAAATCCTAGTCCAGTCTGCCCAGCACTGGGCATGAAGATGTTAAACAGGCTCCAAGGGGCTGCTGTCACGATGATTAACGTTTACAGGAAGGCTCACAATGGTCTACAATAATAATACACACTTACGTAGCACTTACTATCTACCAGGCACATTCTACCCACTTTTATATTAACTCAGATGTTAACCCAACTTACATATATTAACTCTATGAGGTAGATATTATTGTCATTCCCATTTAGGTGCAGTAACTTGCAAAGGTCATAAGCTATCACGGGGTAGAGATGAGATTTGAACCCAGACAGCCTAGCTCTGACATCTGTTTTCTTAACCATTGTACCATACTGTCACTTAGTAATCTCAACCTCTATACAAGAAGCAACTTCCCTGACAAATGACTGAGCCAGGGATAACACAGCCAGCAGAGAACACTCAAAAGTGAGGTCAAACGTTGGGTTGAAAAGAGATAAAAGACCATAAGGACCACTTTGATCACGATGCAGAGGGGCAGTGGTATTGTGCAGGGAGACAACACCTCTGCAGACATTAGTCTCTAAGCTCAGAACGTATAAGGCAGTGCTTTACATGGTGTGTAAGCAGAGATGAACAAGTCTTCATGGCAAGTGCCTTTAAGCCAGCAGCAATACTGAAGATGACTCAGACTGGACCAAAACAGGTGATTTGCATGGCCACGTTGTGTAAGATGAGGTGACTTCTTAACAGGAAAGCAAAGCCTGACATCTGCTGACCATACGTCAACGTTGACTGTATACTGAGTACGCACTATAAACTATAAATAGCTCCCACTCCAAAGTATACGCTTAATCATTCCCAACCTAACTTCTCAAGGAATGAATGTGAGTGTATAAGTGCGTGTTGGAATAACAGAGCATCTGGCATGCTTAGAAAACTGGACGTGTTAATTGATTCATTTAATATGTAATTATTGGGTGCCTACTATGTGGTAGGCTTTGGAGATAGACACATGCAACCTTGTCCTCCAGCCCCAGTGGCCGTCCATGGGTCCACTGTCAGACAGCTCTGTTCCCATCCATGTATTCCTTTGTCCTGGATGCAGTGCTTCTGTGTCTCCACGTTTGGGCAAATTCTATGTTTCCAGCTGGGCTGATAATATTTATTACCTCTCAGTAGAAAAAAGTTGGGGGTAGAGACCTATTCTCCTACTGCACCTCCTCATCAGCAAGGACCATTCACTACGATACCCAAGCACCCAAGGTACACCTTACACCAGACTGGTGCCCAGTAACTACCTGTTGAATGACTACTGCAGTGATCTTGACACAGGAGTCAGGTCTCTGGGGAGCTTACCATCTAGTCCTGTGAAGAGGCCAGAAAGCGTGTCATTTCTCCCCTCTGGTGTTAGGAGGCCAGGCTCTGGAGCTAGACTACTCAGTGCAAACTCAGGCACTGTGATCCCGAGTGGTTTGGATGAGGGCTGTGGACCTGGATTGGGATATTTTACTCCCATAACAACCTCATTTTTTAGGGGGAGGGTGGCTGAGGCTGAAAGAGTATCTGGCTAGTATTGCTGGATGCATTTCAGATTTAAGAAGTTTCCCCTTTTGAGAAAGGTAATCTGGTATATATACCATATATTATACACCACTTCCAGTGGGCTCTGAGCAGCACCTCACATCAAACACACTGGGATGTCTGCAGCAAATCATATGAACAAGCACAGCGAGTGATATAATTCATGCTATTACAGCCTCACTTTCCTTCAGATCAGGCTTTGCTGCTCAAAGTTTTACAAACATTTTCTAGTTTTCAGAGCATTTTATATTTTGAATTTGCAGGTGAGGGATTGAATGCCTCCAAAAGTAAAGTCCCTAGAAGAGAATGTGGCACACACTAGATGCCGTGGGGCCTGGCACGCAGCAGCCACTTGGAATATATTAGTTTCCTTCCCTCCAGCCAGTCTCTGATAGCACTGGAGCCTCACACAGCTCTCCTTCTCAGTTTCCCCCGAGAGGTGAGAAGACCCCCCCAGTCATCTCATCTCTTGCCTCAGAAGGTGGGGGCACCTGCAGATTCTTGCTTACCAGTCTGTGTGGGCATCGTCGATCACCAACAGGATCCTGGGTCTCTGAACCACAGGTGTGGAGGGACCCGGAGGCTCCATCAGCCCCGAGGGGGCCTGAGGGGTCTGCTTCATGGCACTGGAGAAGGAGCTAAAAAGGCTGGATCCTGGAGAGGAGAAGGAGGCTGCCAGGGGCTGGGGGTGCCTCCTTTCCATGGCTGGGGAAGCCGGGGAGCTGGTGGAGCTATCTGGGCGCTGCAGGTCCGTCATGTAGCCATTGGGCAGGTTGGCCACGAAGCTGCTGTCGGAGAGACGTCGCCGGAGGAAATTCATGGCTGGGGATGGATGGAGATAGCTGATTCTTTCTCAGCCTTGTCTTCGTGAGGCCAGGAACACAGGCTGCCAGGTAGAGGGACTGGAGGGAACTTCGTCCCCAAGAGCCAGGGTAATTTGCACAACCAGAAGTCGGCTTCAGCTGCCTTTGCTCACCTGGTGGGAAAAAGCCAACAAACACCTGAGTGACAACAACCTCCTCCCCTTGAAGAGCAAACAGATACAGCACTTTCCTGCCCTGCTGCTGGTGGCAATGTGAATTGGGATATCCTTTCGGAAAGGAATTTGGCAGCATGTCTTAAAAGCATATCCTTTAACCCACAATTCCCATTTTCTAGAATTCTATTCCTGGGAAAGAATCTAAGTTACAGAAAAAGCCTCACGCACAAATATATTTATCAAAGTGTTATTTACACCAGCAAAATACTAGAAAGTATCGCAACATTCAGCCACAGGATAACAAATGAATAAACTACAGCACAGTCACTCAAGGAACCTTTTGTGGCAGCTAAAAAAGGGTACTGAAGAAAGGTTTTTAGTCACAGAAAACATTTCATGTTGTAATGCTAGATTAAAAAGATCACGATACAAAATTACATGTACAGAATGTCCACAACCATGTAAAGCATGAAATAACAAAACTTTGGAAATAAAATAGATCCAGATGTTGACAGTGATTATATTTTGATGATGCAGTTACATGCCTTTTTTTTTTTTTTTTCCTTTCCACTTACTTATATTTTCCAGTTTGCCTAGAATGCATATTGCTATGGACTGAAATGTGCCCCTCCCATTCAGTGTTGAAGACCTAACCCCCAATGTGAAGGTATTTGGAAATGAGGCCTTTGGATGGACTGAAATGTGCCCCTCCCATTCAGTGTTGAAGACCTAACCCCCAATGTGAAGGTATTCGGAAATGAGGCCTTTGGGAGGTCATTAGGGTTAGATGAGGTCATGAGGGTGGAGACCTCATGATGGGATGAAGCGACACCAGAGAGCTGACTCTGCTTCTGCCATGTGAGGACACAGTGAGAAGTCAGCCATCTGCAAACAGGAGGGTCCCCACCAGAACCCAACCGTGCTGATCTCAGACTTTCCGCCTCTAGAACTGTGAGAAAATAAATTCCTGCTGTTTAAGCCACCTAATCTGTGGTATTTCATTATGGCAGGCCCAGCAGAACGTTCTCTTGTGCCCCCTTCTGGTCAATTTACACCCCCCCACCCCCTACCCCATGTACACTCTTCTGATGTGTGTCACCATTTATTAATTATACTTGTTCTAGAACTTCATATAAACGTAATAATATGTATTATTCTTTTGCTAATGACTTTTTTTCCTCAACATAATAGTTTTGAGATTAATCTATGTTGTACGTATCAATAGTCATTCTATTTTTTTAATCACTGATTAGGATTCCACTAAATGGATAAACCACAAATTATTATTCCAGTTTCCTATTGCAGGACATTTAAAATGTTTCTGGTTTGGGGGTATTATGGATAGGATTGCTATAAGGATTTTTCATTTAAGTGTTTTTGTGAAGATAGATAAATGACAGATGGATGGATGGATGGATGAGTGGACAGATAACCACAAATTATTATTCCAGTTTCCTATTGCAGGACATTTAAAATGTTTCTGGTTTGGGGGTTTTATGGATAGGATTGCTATAAGGATTTTTCATTTAAGTGTTTTTGTGAAGATAGATAAATGACGGATGGATGGATGGATGAGTGGACAGATAGACTGATAGATCTTTTATTTGGGAAAATACCTAGGAGTTAATTTGTTGTCATAGGGTAGGTATGTGTTTAGCTTAAAAGGAACTGCCAAAAAGTTTCTCATAGTGGTTGTGCTGTTTAGCACTCCATTTGAGAGTTCCAGTTGCTCGCTTTTTTATCTTAGCCATTCTAGTGGGTGTAAAATAGTATTTCATTGTGTTTTAAATTTATTTTCTCTCACATTTAATGAGGTTGGGCGACTGTCATGGATTTACTGGACACTAATATGTCTTTTTTTGGGAAGTGTCTGTTCAAGTCTTGTCCATTTTCAAGTCTTGTCCACTTCTTACTGTTGGGCTATGTTTTTACTATTGATTTGTGGGAGTTCTTTATACATTCTGGATGCAAGTTTTTGCCAGATATGTACACTGTGAACATTTTCTACCATTCTGTGCAACCCCATTCAGTTTTGCTTTCGTTGCCTGTGCTTTTGGGGTCATATCCAAAAAATGGTTGCACAGGCCAATGTCATACAGATTTTCTTCTATGTTTTCTTCTGCTGGTTTTACAGTTTCAGGTCTTAAAATATTTAAGTCTTTAAGCCATTTTGCGTTGTTTTTTTATATGGTGTGAAATAAGGGTCCAATTTCATTCTTCTGCATGTGGATATCCAATTTCCCATTTATTGGAAATGCCACTTATTGAAGAGACTGTCCTTTCTCCATTGTATGTTCTTGGCACCTTTGTCAAAAATCAATTGACTACAAATGCATGGGTTTTTCTGGGCTCTTTATCCTGTTCCATTAGTCAATGTGTCTGTTTTTACGTCAGTACAATGCTGTTTTGATTGCTATATCTTTGTAATAAATTTTGAGGGCTGGTAGTATAATGCCTCCAGATTTATTCTTACTCGCTCAAGATGGCTTTGGCTACTCGAGGTCTTTTGAGGTTCCAACCGAATTTTAAATATGTTTTTCTATTTCTATGAAAAATGACATTGGAATTTTGATAGGGATTGCATTAAGTCTGTAGATCACTTTGGGTAGTATGGACATTTTAACAGTATTAATTCTTCCATTCTATGAACATAGGATATTTTTCCATTTATTTGTGTCATCTATAATTTGTTTCATCAATGTTTTATAATTTTTAGTATAGATATCTTTCACCTCTTTGGTTAAATTTACCCCTAAGTATTTTATTTTATTTTATCTTATTTTATTTTTTGATACTATTGTGAATAGGATTGGTTTCTTGATTTCTTTTTCAGATAGTTCATTGTTGGTGTATAGAAACACTGATTTTAGTATGTTGATTTTTTATCCTGCAATTTTACTGAATCCATTTATCAGTTCTAACAGTATATATATATATATATATATATATTTTTTTTTTTTTTGGTGGAGTCTTTAGGGTTTTCTGTATATGAGATTATGTCATCAGCAATCAGGGACAATTTCACTTCCTCCAGGAGATAACCTCTAAGGGCAGAAAGAGAGGTGCAAATGCAAAGACCCTGAGAAAGGAAGGAGCTAAGCGCATTTGAAGAATAGAAGGCAGGTCACCTCCACCAGGGAGCAGGAACAAGATTGTTATAAGAAAATGTTTAGAGAAGTAGAGAGGGGCCAGTCATGAAGATCATATTGAAAATAGTCTTGATTTTCATCCAGTCGTGAAAGTAACCATTGGAGCGTTATAGACAAGAGAGAGACATGATCTGGCCACTGTGTGGAAAGCAGGCTGTGGAGGATGTGCACACGGAAGGAGCAGACAAGCTAACAGCTGGTGTAGTCATTTTGGTCTGTAGGTGGATTATGTAATTGCCAAGGCCTTTTCCTTGTCTGTGTCAGTCACTTCTCATGCCATTAGGACATTGGATATCTCTTCAATGTCAAACTAAGCCATCAGATTAAGGTTGGGACAAGGAGCAGATGAGAGGGATTCTGGTGAGGGAGGCCTTGGAGAAAGGACTGGGAGACACCCTAGGACAGAACCCAGCCGGCCAGCTGGGTAGCAAGCTCCATGCCGCCCCACCACTGGCCACAAGAGGGCAGGAGTGGCCGCCGCAGACAGGAAAATAAAGGAAAACCACGTTCTGAGGCTGACTCCTTGCAGGCTGTGGCGTGAAGGAAGATGTGACAGGGAAGGGTAAAAAAAGGTTGAAAGACTTCTCCGATTTGTTGAAGCCAGAAGCCAGATGTAAGGCACAGAGCATAAGGACACAGGTTTTGCCTTAAAACAGGAGGAGCTCCATAAGTAAAAGCGCCACCCCACAGCAGCACCAGCGACTTTGGGAAAGGAGAAGCAACTGAGCAGCCTGGACAGCAGAGTGGACGCCCCTGCTCAGGGGTCCCACAGACACCCCACATTCATCTCCTCACTCAGCCTCAGATGCATTTACACACCTGGGTGCCCCACTTCTGGGAACGGCAGCACCCTCTACTCACCCACTTAGACCAGAAACCCGAGTCTCATACTCAACTCTTCACGGGCTTCAGCCACTCAGTCACCAGGTCCTGTCAATTCTGTCTCTCCAGACATCTTTAATACTTTAATATGATCCCCTTCTCCCCATCCTCCTACCATAGTCTTTTCCACATGCTGCTAAATCTCTCCCCCACCTGCTGCAGTAGCCTCCTCACTGGCCTCCCTCCCTCCAGTCTCAGCCATTCAGTCAACTGTCTGCAGAGCAGCTCGAGTGACTTCCTAACTACAATCCTGAGCGTGTAGAAGCCCCTCGTGGCTTCCAGCGCCTCTTGGGATAAAAGACACCCTAACACAGAAAGACCCGCATGGTTTGGTCACTGTTATTTTCTTCAATGTTTTCCTTGCTCCTTTGGCCATGCAAGATGGAACTCTTCCAGTGAGCCCTGCTCTTCCGAAAATCCCTATCTTTCATGTGCTTTCCCCTGTCTGGAACACCATCTACATTCTCTTCTTCCTTCACTGCCTGCCTGATACCTGGGAAAGCCATGAAACTAAGCACAGGAGAACACAACCTTCAAAAGGAGACTAGGGTTCCAATCCCACCTCTTCCACTTTCTAATGTGATAGCTGCAAGATGTGGCTCATTCAACCTCGGTGCCTCAGTTTCCTTATATGTAAAATGGGGATTAAAAAGTAATGGCTACTTATCAAATTGATGTGAGCACCGGGTGAGATGATAGATGTGACACCATGCAGTGCCTGGCATGCCACGTGCTACACATACTAGCTACTATTGTTTATTACCATTGTTTACTCATATGGATCCACGTGAGGGAGGCCCCTCCCAAACCCAGGCTAAGGACCACCACAGCCTCGCACTCTGGTGTTGAACACAGCTAGACAGAG